GGGGATGCTCAGCTCTGGGACCGCCGCGGAGGTGCTCGGTCACCCAGACCGCCGAAAGCAGGACCCTTCCCAGGGTGCCCACCCGCGTCGTGGCGTCACGCAGCCCCGCGGGCTCGGGGAGGGCTGCCAAACCCGGCAGCTGGTCCCACGGGGCACGAGAGGCGTCGGGGAGGCGTGGGCTCACCTGGAAGCTCTTGGCGTTGAGGCTCTTCTGGCTCTCAGCAGCCACCTTCAGCCTGGAGTCCAAGCCCTTCATCAGGGACTCGGTGTTGCGCACGTACTGGAGGTCCCGGTAGGTCCGGAGGTCCAGCACCTCCATCGACTGGGAGATGTTCTGCACCTGCGTGGTGGGTGCGATAAAGCCCCCCGGTCTAATTAACACGGCCCCCTGCCCCGTCTCTGCTGCTGACGAAGAGGCTTGAGCCAGGGAAATTTGGGGTCCGGAGGCAGAGAGGGGATGGGGAAGGGAGAGCAGCCCCCCAGGACCAGGTCAAGGCCACCGGGTGCCACTGAGGACACCACGGGAGACCCCATCCCGGCATCCCTGTCCCCGGGGAGCCGCAGGATAAGCAGCTCCCCGCTCCACCGCGCCGGCGTTTATGTAAACGCTTGCGAGATAACTCTTCCCCCTGCAGCTTTAATGTATAAAATAATGCATTTTACTCATCCTGCTTCAGCTGTTATTTGTTTTTTTTTAAACCACCCGAGCGCACATTTCCCAGCCCGGTCTATGAGCTTTCATTCTTTAATTTCATCTGCCGCAGCCGGCAAAGTTATTTTATTTCCACGCTTTCAAATGACGTTGAACGTGGCCGTGTTCCTCAAACGGTGATTTATTTATTAGCACCAGCCCTGCTGGTATTTACGGTGCCGCCGCCTCCTCGGAAGGGAGCTGCTTAAGAGGCGTTTTTGCAGCACGTCGTATTAAAAGTTTAATCGGGTTTGCGATGTGCCCGGACATGTAAAAAACAGGGAGAAATTAAATGAGCTCTGCTGAGGCAGACGGCTGCCCGCCACGGGGAGGGGAAGGCTAACGGCTTCTGCCAGCAT